GAATGGGAACAGAGAGCAAGGGAATTTCTGGTCACTCCCCCGAGGGAGTGAACACGACACGGCCTCGCAGATCTACGACCTCACACCAGGCTCCAGCCTTATTAAGAATATAAGGACCCAGACGTGCGGAGCCAGCACAGGCCCCAGGCCCAGGGATACAGGGTCCAGGGTTCAGGGCCCAATGCCCGAGGGTGCAGAAACGGTACACGGAATATCGAAGATTACAGAAAGTACAGGTACCAAGGAGCCAATTCTTCCTTCAAGAGTCGACACGTGGCACTATCCAGATCAAAGGGTTAGGCAAGAAAAGCATACAAAGTATAAGATAAATAAACACACTCGAATTTGCATTACACGTGGCAGCTCCAAGCGCCTCCTCTTAGCTTCTACGTCGCTCCACCTCTTCCGGGCGGGATATACTTTAGCCCCCCGACGTCAGCAGGTGTTAGACGGCTCAAACTACGCAAGTTGAACCTCAGGATAGTTGGCCTGAGGTGTCAAGTAAGTGTAAAAAAACACCCAACACCCGCTACAGAAGCGGTTTCCCTACGGGGAACAAGAGAAAGGGGTCCAAGGACCAAGAAAAAGTTAGACACCGAAAGGGGTACTTAGTACCAGGTGCATTGCTCTCGACACAGTCGATTGAGCCCAAGAAACCCTGGGCCAGAGTGAAGTATATCCACTCGTGGGCCCCCAAGTCCGTCCATAAAGGACCAAGTCTATAAGTCTTCTGCGTCTAACAAGGAGCAAAACCAGCCAAGCCGACGGGTACACAAGGTGAGACCCAAGGTTGACGCGACACGGTATCGTGGTACCCCCTCCGTAAGTCGGCAGTCCGGCGCTGTGTGTGTTTGTGGTTCTCTCACGTCGTTTGAGAATCCACTCCACCACACGACCTTGAGTCGGTTTCATAAAGACATTGCGGATCGAGAGGCGGAGCGCGATCTAGCCATTCGCGATCAAGATTTTCTTCAATCGCATTTGGCTAAGCTGGCTACCGAATCGCTTCCATCTCCATCCCGCGCCTCCAAGCTCATTTTTCAAGGTCATAAGTCGGTCCTTCACATTGTCGCGATTCGTTGATTTTGCTAATCTGCGACATCGGCGTGATCTACCGCATAGCGCGATCTGCTACATCGGAGCAATACACTGCTTTAGCGCGACCAGCGAGATTTTCCACATCGGCTATCCAGAAAAGGTAATTTAAGTATATTCACGATGATAAAGAAAGAGAAATATAATCTCGTCCTTCGCCTATCATCGTGCAAAACGCGACAATTGGTCTTACGATCCCGAAGACGCCACGCTTACCGTTCTTTCTGAGCCGCGCTCTACTGTTATGATTCATGCACCATTATCAAAACCCCTACCAGCACTGGGTAGTCAGCCTTATTTTCACAAAGCTAGTAGCCAGATACACATATCGCACCGATGTTGCATATGCGCTTCGAAAAAGGTCTGCGCGAAGAGTCAGAAGCATGTGAAGTCGAAGCGCGTTTGCCGGGGCAGCGTATCGCTCCGATGTAGCTGTGGTGGAGTGGATTTTCAAACGACGTGAGAGAACCACAAACACACACAGCGCCGGACTGCCGACTTACGGAGGGGGTACCCCGATACCGTGTCGCGTCAACCTTGGGTCTCACCTTGTGTACCCGTCGGCTTGGCTGGTTTTGCTCCTTGTTAGACGCAGAAGACTTATAGACTTGGTCCTTTATGGACGGACTTGGGGGCCCACGAGTGGATATACTTCACTCTGGCCCAGGGTTTCTTGGACTCAATCGACTGTGTCGAGAGAAATGCACCTGGTACTACGTACCCCTTTCGGTGTCTAACTGTTTCTTGGTCCTTGGACCCCTTTCTCTTGTTCCCCGTAGGGAAACCGCTTCTGTAGCGGGTGTTGGGTGTTTTTTTACACTTACTTGACACCTCAGGCCAACTATCCTGAGGTTCAACTTGCGTAGTTTGAGCCGTCTAACACCTGCTGACGTCGGGGGGCCAAAGTATATCCCGCCCGGAAGAGGTGGAGCGACGTAGAAGCTAAGAGGAGGCGCTTGGAGCTGCCACGTGTAATGCAAATTCGAGTGTGTTTATTTATCTTATACTTTGTATGCTTTTCTTGCCTAACCCTTTGATCTGGATAGTGCCACGTGTCGACTCTTGAAGGAAGAATTGGCTCCTTGATGCCTGTTGGAATGAGCTTTAATTGTCTCGTTTACTTAACTCAGAAACTGTAACAAGGTCCTCTTCATGATTTGACCGCGCTCCAAGCTCTGCAAATCTCTGAATAACTACTGGCATAAGTGCATGTTCCTGTTGGTGCTCCTCCTGTTCCTCCATAAGCACCAAAACATAGCTCTAAGTACTCCAATTTCCCCTTTTGAACTCAAGCCACTCCCACAGCATACCGCTTGAGGTGCTTACTGCCGTTTTGGCTACATCGGTATCTCTCATGAGGACGGAGAAGAGCCCAAGGGTCTGGAATCAAGATCGACGAACGATTTAGCGATGCTGTTGAAGAAACCGCTGTAGGGACTCGCTTTTAAAAGCTGCCGAGCTGAATTACCCTGTGCATGCCAAGGAGCTACTTTCAATTAAAGTTAAGTCGAATGTCTTGGCTGACGCGTTATCGCGTTCATCGAGTCTTCGCTCGTCAGGTCTTCGTTCATCAAATATTATCTTGTCGAGTCTTAGCTCGTTTAGTCTTCGTTCATTGAGTCAATGGGAGATCCAAGATGATCTGCTACATCGAAGATATCTCCATGATTCCATCGAGTTGATCATGGAATAAGCTGTGATTTAATTTGGGATGTTTAATCGTTGTTTGGCCAAGTCGTTTAATTAGTTCTTTAGAACTAAGTGGATTTTAGCCGCAAATTTATTAAGTTCTCTAGAACTAAAAGGCTTTCAGCCTAAAGTCGGTTGTTTCGTTAGAACGCAACACGACGGGGATAGGCAAAGCACGACCTAGTGCTTTGCCCTTCCGTTTCCATGATGGAAAGACGCTAAAAAGTTTATTAGCGTCAATAGTGGCACGCTCATGCAATTACCGGACTCGAACGAGGAACCGGCGTTGCTAACCAGGTTCAGAATCTACCAGACAAAAGGTTAAATAGACCTGTCTTCTTCTCTCTCTTTCTCAGAAGGTGAGTGAGGTGTGAAGAAGGTGAGTGCAGGAGGCGGTGAATTTAGGTATGAGCAGAATACAAAGAATACAGGTTGTTTGTTGTAGCAATCCTCCTTCTGTAACCTTAGCGGTTCCGTGTACCGTCTTCGCATCTTCGGGCATTGGGCCCTTGTACCGTGGGGCCCTGGTACTCTGGGCCCTTGGACTTTGGGGCCTTGGGGCCTGTACTGGCTCTGTACTGCTGAATCCTTATGTTCTTAAAGTGTCTGGGGCCTGGTGTGAGGTTGTGGATCAACGAGGCCGTGTTGTTGTCACTCCCTCGGGGTAGTTACCGGGAATCTTATTGCCCCCTGTTTATATATCCTTTTGTCCTGATTTCCTTGGCACTTCTCCACATAGCAGATCGCGCCGGAGTAGCGTATCGCGCTATGTATCGGGTCGCGCTGGAGTTGCGAATCGCGATGGAGTATCGAATCGCGCCAGAATGGAGGATCGCGCCGGAGTATTAGACCGCGCCGATGCGGCAGATGCGCTGCTGGGACGTTTTCGCGGAGAGTCCGAAGCCGGAAAAGTCAAGGCGCATTTGTGACCTTGAAAAATGAGATTGGAGGCGTGGGATGGAGATGGAAGCGATTCAGTAGCCAGCTTAGCCAAATGCGATTGAAGAAAATCTCGATCACGAATGGCTAGATCGCGCTCCGCCTCTCGATCCGCAATGTATATATGAAACTAACTCAAGGGTGCATCAGTATGGATTCTCGTGCTTACAAGGCGATCATGATTAACTTCGAGTGCGTTCATTATGTGTTGAAGATGCTCAACCGTTTCATGACCCGGTTTCGTGTACTTAAAAGTCTTGCTCTTCGCGTACTAGAAGTCGGCGGCCGAGGCACCACCTGTAGCGTTTCGTTGTAAGAGTGTCTAATCCAATAGTTGCTGAAGGGAGGGCAACTGATGCTGGAATTTTTCCACTAAAGTCTGCTGAAGGCGGCCATCTCCCGTTGATGTTTATCTCACACGTGGTGCTCTCCACATTGGCTTGGAGCAAAGCTGTCTCCAAGGCAGCAATTTTTCGAGACTGATTCGCTCGCCCACCCAATTCTTCCTCGAAGGCTTCGGCTTTCTGGATCGCTTCTTCACGTTGCTGGTGCAACTGTTCGTACCGACTCAAGACGAATGTACTTAAGGGAGACGACAGCTCGTGATAGAAGTGTAGCTCCTGTTCCAACTGATTGCAACGAATAGCTTGCTCCTGAAAAGTTTCTTCCATTCATCGATAGCTTTCTACGATGTGCTTCCAAGCAATCGTATAGAGAGACAATCCACGAGACCATGGTTTGACGATCCATTACAGGAAGAAGAATCACCCTGGTAAACGGGAGCAAGAAACGCGATCCGCCAGTTATATCCGCTGGCGGATCGCGGGTGATAGAAACATCGCCTTGATTGATATGATCGTGTTCGGGTACAGAGCCAGCCATGAAAGATAATTATGAAAGAGGGATACGTGACAAGACGGTGCACAGCCAGACCAATACTGTATGTCGCTAATGGTGCAGGGACGATTGTGGTAAAGTGACCGTTCTAAATCTTACTAATGCCGCTTCTACCTGTGTCAATCGACCGTCATTATGAAGGCTGCCCGTCGAACAGAGATAAGAGCAAATGATGTATCTTGAACGTTTACAGCATAAATGATACTTGCCATTTATCAACTTAGCCAAAAAGAGGAGCGCCTGTGACGCTCGCCCCTTGCCAACCAGTGGCAGCCACTGCGACTGTTTCTTTAGAGATTTTAAAGACTTTAGAGACTTTAGAGATTTTTCTTCACAAAAGTTCGGATATAAAGTTTAAGAGGTCTACTTACAATTTTGCAATGGCTTCCGAAGAGAATGTCCTGGCGACGCTTCCTCTCCCTCCATCTGCTTTTCCTGACTATCCATTAGTATCTGGAACAACACCGACCAGTGACAAAGAAACTACAATTGAACGTCGTCCAAGTCGTTCGAAACTACCGGCATCTGCTGTTAAAGCTTCGTCCGCAGCTCGTTCACTCGCCGCCGCTGCTCGTTCCAAATTGTCAATAAAAAACGGGCGTAATACTCTGTCGCCTGGCGACAAAAGTGATAGCTCTACGTTGTCTGATACGGAAGAAGAGTCAAGAAGATCAAGTGATTCTTTAACGTTAATGGCTTCAGCTGCAGGTTCGTTAACTTCCGGCTTTACGTCCTCATTAGCCAATGCATCATCTTCATTTGGTTCAATGCTGTATTCATCTCGACGGTCCAGTGTCAATAATATTGACGACGTGGACGAATCCCGGACGAGCACTATCGAAGAAGCTGCAGCTGTTGCCGCTCAAGTACTTCAACAGGTGAACACACAGCAGAGAATGACCATTTTGGAACATCTTGTACAGGATCGACGCTCGGACTGGTATTATCTCAAGATTATGCATGAAGGTTCTAATTACTGGCTTAATGTCGCATTGCTACGAGAGCAAGAAGTGATGAAATATCTGGGCGATAAACAAAGTATCCGTCGGGGTACACAGTTTTTCTATCTCGGACTTGGACTTGGGAAATTAGTTGGTGATTCAATGCACGGGAAGCAACTAGCAATTGAGTGTTGTCAATTATTAGAAGAACTTGAGTTTCATTTCTCGTCTTCAACGGTGCAGGGCATGGTAAGGATGGACTATCTTGTGTGGGCAGAGATGGAAAAAAGGTACTTAGAATTTTGGCTAAACTGTATTGGCTTGTGAATGCAATGGTAGAAAATGATGGTTGCAACGTCGAGTACGCTTCATGAACCTCTTGATAAGAAAAATAGTCTCGAGTTCTCAAGTGATGAGCCTTTCCGACCAATCATGCACAAGTGGAATCAACGTCCAGTATACCGCCGCCTCATGACGCCTCCTATCGTACATTTACCTACGTTTTCGGCTTTGCTATTACTATAACAAACAGACTGATGCGTCATTGTGTTCTGTCTTGCAGCCCTTTCCACTCGATTACCGAGAAGTGCTGCTTTCCTTGTGCGATATCCTGGCACTCGTTTACAGCAAACTGATTGGGGACAGTAGTGCCTCGGAGAACGTGAATGTGTTTCAGGCTATAATTCGATTCGATGATCGCATAAAGGTTTGCTAAAGACACTATGATTGACTATCTTCGGTGAGTAACAATTCATTCCACTTGTGCTGCAACAGAAACTAGTTATCGATCCTGTCAAGAAGGAGTTTTCAGCTGTTGCATCGCAAGTCATGGCGGAAGAGATGAGACTTGTTCGAAAGTCGTACGCATCCGGCGCTCGGGATAGCGAAGGCAGCTCGTGTACCACCTCAGTCTCGGTAACAGCCTCAGATCCAGATAACGCGTCTTCGTTCAGTCAATAGTCAGACTACCGTGTCACTTTTGTAATGGGTGAAGGAAGGCCTGGGATGGAGTGACGTTGATATTTGCCAAAGTAATCACGTTGGAAGTGTCAGAGTAAAGTTGGTTTCTCATTAAACGATCTCCGGTTGTGTGACTGCCGCCTACTGGCATCTTGCAGGTCCCATAGAACGGTAATGTGCGACCGACGTTGCAGAACGATAAGAGCAGGTTCAGCACGTTTTTGGGTTGCGCGCCACGGATCGCGTATGCGTTGGAAGGCTGCGTGCATGCGTAGCTTATGGATGACATGTGATGATATGTGTTGCCCATCGTCGTGAATAAGTGTAGACATCTTGCTCGCTTGCGATTTCATTGAAAATTTAGTTTACCGAGGAACAACATGGACATCATCAGCACCTAGTAACAGTGGTCTTCCGTGTATTTACAACGGCGCGCCGATGCCAAAACACAACGATGCCTTATGCAGCCGAACATCAGAAGGACGAAGAAACTATCTACTATTGTGAAGCCTGCTACAAGAATCAAAATATTGGCGAGCGATGCCTCGTACGAGGACTTTGTGCACGCGTGGAAACGAATCAGCTATGACACGGACGACAGCTTAAGCGACTCGTCATTCTCTTCGGAGGATGAGTTCAAGCAACTTGTCTCTTTGGAATGTAGCAAGGGTGCGTGCTTAATGAACGAAAACGGTCGGTGGGTTTGGACACTGCATGATGGTTGGCGAAGGCGTAATCTAGCGCGATGACAGCATTCGCTCGCAAGCTATCCGCTTTTGCGAGATGTGGTGGTAATCGAGCTCCTAGACAAGCAAAAAAACACTTCGACAGTCACCAAGTACAGCATGCTTTAGGCTTCCATCGACAAAAAAAGTGGAGCTTATACAAGGCTCCATTGTCGTCAACCTCTTTGAAGTCGACTTTCTAGAGTATGGAATGTCGATGGTGGCCTTCACAGTGTACAGCGTAAAGATCACAACTGCCTTTACCAGTTCGCCGATAGAACGGACGTTGTTGTCGAGTAGTGCCGGTAAGATTGAGCTTGAACTGATGATACATATAGCGCACGATACTGATACATGACACGATCGCTACAACTTGCAATCATCTTTCACCGTCGACATTCAAAGACATTGATGTGCCACCTCAATTGATTGCATCAGTCGTTAACAAACGCCTCCAACTCCTACTCAAGTGTTTCTGCTTGTTTCGGTCTTCTCCACTGCCTCAGTCTCGGAGACTTTCGACAGCATCACACCCGTTACGATATTCAAGTTGTTGTGCTTCTTGATGACTGCGTCTACTCTGCTCTTGGTTATCTTGATGCTCGGCGTGACCCAAGTGCCGCATGAGCACTGGGAACCGGACCACTGCAACCCACCGAGACGTGACTGGCACTTGGTTGTAGGACAATGAATCTTACCCTCGGCCAAAAGAGTCTCATCCATCCAGGGCAGTATCTGTTCCAGGAAATACGAGGAACAGTCGACGTGACCGCCGATGTGGTGCTTAAAGTCCTTGAGTTTCTTACGCGTAGAGATCTCGTGCTGCTCTGGCGTGTGCAGCATGAGCGCATCACTCGTGAACAAGATGCAGCGACATTTCTTGCACGCAAATTTCGTGACGGTTGGCTCGAAGTCCTCGTGGAATTCTACTGGTAGTGCTGCCTCCATTGGTGTCGCTGCCTTACAAATTTCAAGTGTAAAGTAAAGTCGACGAGTCGAGATGCTAGGTATTTTTTTGTTATGGCAAGTCATACTTGGTATTGACGCTACCGATGTTCCTAGCGCAAAAGGATTGCAATGACACTTGACATGACTCGATTTAGGCGGACAGGTCCCAGTAATTGATACAAGCGTCGTTGCCAACCGACACGAGCTCTGTCTCCGACACGAAACTCACACCCGTGACGCCGTCCTTGTGTGAAAAGTCGAATACGCGCTTCTTCATGGGGTTGTTCACGTCCCAAATGTAGATGCGCTCATCCAGCGAGCCACTGGCCACGAAGTTGCCGCTCGGAGACCACGCCACACTTGTCACACGCGTCGAGTGGAAGACCCACATTCCCTGCACCTTGGCCGAGCGAGACGCTACATCCCACACGCGCACCTCACGGTACGTGTCACCCGCAGCCAGCAAGGACCCATCCGGTGAGAACGACACGGACGTTAGCGCGCCAAGGTGTCCCACAATCTCGCCACTTTCCACCAGAGAAGATCCGTCCACGACGTCAAAAAGGTGAATCTTCATATCCTCCTGTGAACCGATCGCCACTAGGTCTTCTGACGGCGAGATGGCCACACACGTGGGCGTCCACGACAGCTCGGCCGTCTCAAAGACTAGCTCCTGGTCACGCAGGAGCTTCACACCCTTGTTTGTACTGGCCACCGCGAGGCCAGACTCCGTAAGCGCTACTCCGTTCGGCTGTGCGTTCAGTGGCGTAGCGGCGATGTACTCGTTTTCATTGGCAAAACGCAGCTGGTCATCCCACCCGGAGCTTGCAATCTGGTTTGATGTGGCAGAAATGCCCGTGATCTTTGCAGTATGGTGGGCACCCGGCAGCGTCTTGGCCAGCTTTGATATCCACGAGCATACAACACCGTCATAGCTGCCCGTGAGGATGCGGCTCTGCGTCGGTTCGGTGGCGAGCGACAGGATACTCACCTGGTGGCCTTGCACAATCTGCTTTGGCTGCGAGGGGTTATCCAGGTCTAGAAAGTTCAGGTCACCCGAAAGACTGAGCGAAATGAGGTAGTTCTGGCACCAGGCCACCGCCACCTGCATGTCCTTGACCTGTGGCTTCGAGCCTCCGAAGGTGAATGTAGTCACTACGCCGCGAGACGCTACGTCCCAAAGCACCACCGTCTTGTCGGCCGACGAGGTCAGCAACTGCGTGCCATCCGGGCTCCAGCACACTGAATAGATGGAGGCCTGATGCACGGCCGGAAACTTGTCAACCAATTCCCCGCTTTGCCCATCAAGCAAGCACATTAACTTGTCCGACCCCACACTGACGGCAAATTCGCCATTCGGCGAAAAGCGCACACAGTTGACAAAGTTTGAGTGGAGATTATGGTTGTTGTGTTTAAACTTGAAAGGAGGGCCTTCATACACACACACGTTAAAGTCTTCACTAGCTGTCATGATACGAAATGGACGTGTCTGACGGTAGTCGACACTTAAAATCCGTTTTTGATGGCCGACAATCTCGCCAACATTGTTGCCAGTATCCCACATGACGACACGCGCCATGACGCCACGACCGTCACCCACAGCCACGATCTTTTTACTGTCCGGATCCCATGACAGATCCTTGATTTCTCCCGCAAAGACCGGGATCTCTAGCTTGAGCGTATGCTCTGGATTGTCGTACGACCACACACGTACTTTACCCGACACGTCACCCGATGCCACCCAATAGCCATTGGGGGAGAATTTTGCAACGGTTGTAGGTTCATTATGGCCCTTGTACACAAAAGTGTCGGCTAAATTATCCAAGTTACGAATAACAACGAGTTTTCCACTGCAGTAAATGAGTTTTGGCTCGGTTGGATGCATTCCAAGGACACTGGGGGCACCTCGGTTTGTTGTTGGGTTTGGGCCGATTGTCGCCTAATTGTAAATGAAAAAGAATGATGGTCAACTTCAACTACTTCAAGAGTTACTTTAATAATAAAAAACACAATTATTTCTTTACCTCCAGGGCCGGGGGAGGGACTTTTTCCGTCGGGTTTGAAGGTGTGCTCATGGGTTGAAATTTAATGCGTGTCGATGATACGAAATTTGCAAATGAGCCACGTAAACGTTTTATAATTAGCGGATACCTTTGTGCACCACACGAAGTAAAAGTAATGAACTTGTTCTACTTGAAGACAGAGTGAACTGATTTTTTTCTAAGGGATTTGAGACCAAAGACACATGAAGTCCACAATGCATACAGTATCAGTATTTTTTTTCAATGCAAAAGCAGATCTTGTCCTTTTACAGCCGGCATACGATATCATCACATAGTTGTAGTTCCTCATGGTAGTAGTCGATTTCGTTCCCCTTGTGATTCAGCGGCAGAGTTTGTCGTTCGCACGACGTTTTTTCACTCCTTGTCTTCAGCCTCGTCCTTGGCTTTCTTCTACTTGCAAATTAGTCACCTAAAGCTTGGAAGCAATGACTTGCTAGTGCTTGATAACTGTTTAATATCGTCACGATCTCCTCGTCGACACGGGCACTTAAAATTATAAACATCATGCGACCTTTGAGAATAGACAGAATTCTCCGTTGTCGTCGAACTCTGTCTTTTCGATCTTGTTTTGCCCACCTTTGTCGGGCTTCGATTACGGCCGGATAGCGTCATTATTATCCTCATCGTTGCTCAATGTTTTTGTTATCGACGTAGTTATCGATCAACGTCGCCGTCTTTTGGCCCTATGTCTTCGCTCTCGTACGTCTTACCCCCCCCCCCCCCCCCCGAGTTTGTTCAATGATTTTGTGCAATGCTGGGAAGCGCGGTCTTGTCCATGTAGTCTCACGTAGTCGAGCCATTAGTTGTACGCCTCTGTAAAAAGGTACTCAGTCATGAGCATCGACATTTACGGTTCAGCTCAAGAAAATCGTTTCCTTGAGCTCAATTGCACCCATCGGCAGCAAAGCCGTCTTATCTGCGTCGGCCTCTTGCGCGAGCGTTTACAACTACAGGATGTCGGGTAGTTCCTAAGCCTGGTTAGTAGCCCCGGTACTTGATGAAGTCCGAAGATTGTACGGGGCTATCCACCTGCAGTGACGCTTGCTGCGCAAGTCTAAGTATATCTCAGGCAATGCAATTCCTTGCGTACGCTTCCTCAAAAATCTCAACAAGACCTTCTACAATGTTTCTGCTCCGGTCGATCATATTGAAGACAAGCTTGTGGTCGACCCAGACAGCTTTAGTTTGTACACGCTAAACTGATGTTGTCTGGGTCGATTACAAGCTTGATAAAGCTTCATGAAGTTCTCGTTTGTAAACTCCTTTGTGATGGATATGACTACGTTAAGATCAAGAAAGAGCGACCCAAGCGGACTGACGAGATCATTGCAAAAAGCACACAAAGACCCAGATCGAGTGAGGAGAATTATCACGAAGTACAGATTACATAGGTTGATCAGATGCAATATCGACGAGATTGCATATGAGGAGAACTCATTACCAGCCTCGAGAATAACACGATCGCCGTTTCAAACGGCTGCTTCAACAGAAGAAGCTTCGTCGTGAGTTTAAGAATCACGCGACCACCGAATACGAACAGATCGTCATTTACATGGTGCAGGATCTCTAAAAAGTCCTGAGGCAGAAATGTCAGCGCCGGTGGGCTCGGCGGTATATCGTGGCCGACCACCGTAGAACTCGTTGGCTCTCTAAGGTCGCATTCGAGCAACTCGATGCATGCATAAAACAAGGCAACATTTGTGGCTAACGCAATCTTTCGATACTTTCTCTTCGCAATTGTTCAGAGCTGACAACGGCACAAAGCAAAAAAACTGGCGATGCTTCTGGGAAGGTGGAGTGTGACAATTTGGTAGACGGCTGCTTGTTTAGGGACTATGCTTGCGCCGCAGCGCTCTCGAATAAAGTTATTGGTCACTGGACTGTGCACAAAGTCACCCGTTGATTGACCCAAAACTTTTTAGGGGTCTGTGCAAGTCAACGAGTGTCCGGCATACCCGAGTTCCGAGCGAGCATGATGACGTGGGTGAAGCCGAACGCGTATGAACGCAAATTTTGGCACGTCTTTGCAACGATATGTCAAACACGAGTTTGGGTAGACAGGAATGCTTAAACAGTTCATCCAGATCATTTGAGGACTTTTTGCACGCTTGTGACTTATGCACGGTCGATTCAAAGTGTTGTTTATATTTTGCTTCACGACTTAGTTTTGGGAATAAAGTGTCAAAACAACGGTATCTTTTATTCGATTATTTTTTTAGCATCAATTGACCGGATTTATTATTTCTTTAAGGCAATGGCTTATCGTAATCACAAAATAAGCCCTTTCTAAAACTTATAATCAAAATGTCGACTTTAAGGATAGGCCTGGTTGTGCGCAAAGAATAGGTAGGCAGCCAAGTTCAACAGGAGAATTTAGTCTTGTTAGCTGTTGTGGCTGTAAATCTTAACCGTCCAGCAGATCCGCCAAGTGGTCAATGGTCTCCTCACTGCCGCTGCAGACCGGTGTCTCTTTGCAATTATTGTTTCGTTCCTTGCAGCGTGATAAAAATTTGATTGTCTTGTCTTGTCTTGTCACCACCCAGTACCCAGTACTCTGTCCCGACTTGATATGGTATGAGACCATTACTATGATCCCTATTTGCCTCAGCGTTTGCTGAAGCGCTGCGCGCTCGTTGTCGATGGGCGCGCAGCAAATCGCTTACGTTTTCACAGCCGTTTACCGATCGAGCTAACGTAGGTGCGTACGAGCTGGATGTCGCTGAAACAAAGCGTACAATAGTGGGCAATTCTGGTTTGGCTGTGAGAAAAAGTCAGTCCCATCGCTTTGGTATTCTTTACAGAGCCATTAGTATGATCTGTCGAAGATATTCCTATCGGATAGGGGAAGTACTTGCGAGGACGTTTTTTTTGGCTGAGACAATGCGCTTTTACCGCGTTTTAGGATCTTTTATCAGTCAGTTCGTCATGGAGCCGCTCAGGACGCCGACATATATCTAGCCCACATTGCTGCACCATTATTGTATGAGAGATGTTCGATATAGTGCAGAATATCGTCCGAAGTAGCATTTCAAAAGAGATTTGACTCTTGGAAAGGTGAAAAATGTTTACAGATAGCAACACCTCCACTACATTAAACCAAAACCTATCAAAGAGGTGGTACTTTGATTTTGATGTGTGCTTCTATAGGCTGCCGTCTCGATCGACAGAGCTTTTTTTACTATAGTCACCCACCTTATCAGCGTGCAAGGCACCAGACATTTATCCATTTTCCCCAAGATTTTATGTACATCGTCCCTTGCTCAAGCCTTATTAGCTGTACCTTTAACACCTTTCGTATAACGACTCTCGCCCCAACTTTGAACATCTGGCCGCCCTGTCTGTAGCAATGAGCTTGTTTGACGATACCTCACTGGTGACAACAGGCTCTAAAAGTTGCTTTAGGCGCTACTACCTAGGCCAACCAATCGCCTATCATGCCAGTCTCAGTCGCATACCTTAGGCAGCTAGTTGTCGTCATCATTGTTGATGGAAACAACCTCATTATCGAGTGTGTACTGTGATTGAAAGACTTTAAAAGACGCTTCCGACTATTCCAGCAATGTTGTACTCTATCAAATGCTGGTCTATTAGAATGGCAAACTAAATAATACCTCAATGCACTGGTCCACAAGTCACTTTCTTGCTATTCTGGCTACTCCGCCTCCTCCCCCTCAAAATTATCAATCGGATTAGTCAGAATGTATTTTCTGTAAGGTCTCCATTAAAACAAATTCCACTGTTTTCAGCGATTGTTTCAGCGTTTTGCTGCCCCTTTCTATTATTTCTATTAAAAAAAAAGAAGTCGCTTACAAATCTCTTCATATCGGTTGTCAATAAAAAAAATCACAGTTGGTCGTAATCTGTCCCACTGTTTGTTCCAAAGCGCGCATCAACATCAGCCAATTCGGTGGCGCGTGTTGATGCCACCATTCAGTGACAGTGACACGAGGATCTAGTGACACCAGTGGATCAGCTAATTTCCAGCCATTACTTCAGAATTTGCAGTCTTCCGGACCAATGGCTTCAAACAACTCACCCACGTCTTCTTCATCTCCTCCAAGGGTAGCTAAAAAGTATCTCGAAGTATCAAACGCACCACCTGTGTATACGTCAGCTGACCAACTTCATGCATACTTTGGAAAGTTTGGAGGCTGCTTTGTAGCCGAGACAATCATTCAAATACACTACAATCTCATTGGCGAGTATGTCAAGGCTTCACAAGACCCGAAATTCCGTCAAGAATTAGAACATTTGGGTCGTGATTATATTGGTCGTCCGACCCCATTGTACCATGCAAAACGTCTTACGGCCCATGCGAAAGGTGCTCAGATTTGGCTTAAACGTGAAGACTTGGCTCATACAGGAGCCCACAAAATTAACAATGCACTGGGTCAAGCTGTACTGGCAAAACGGTTAGGCAAGACCCGTATTATTGCTGAAACTGGTGCTGGACAACACGGTGTCGCTACAGCCACAGCTTGTGCACTCTTGGGACTGGAATGTGTGGTGTATATGGGCTATGTTGACACTCAGCGTCAATCGCTTAATGTCTTTCGTATGAAGATGCTTGGGGCAAAGGTCGTGGCTGTGAAGAGCGGCTCTCAGACACTTAAAGATGCAGTTAATGAAGCAGTCCGTGATTGGACTACCAATGTTCACAATACGCACTATATCATTGGCTCAGCCATTGGTGGACATCCGTTCCCGACAATTGTCCGTGACTTTCAAGCCGTTATTGGTCGTGAAATTAAAGCTCAATTGCAAGAAGAGATTGGTCGACTTCCAGATGCTATTGTGGCGTGTGTGGGTGGAGGAAGCAATGCTATTGGCATGTTTCATGATTTCGTAGAAGATAAAAATGTAGCCATGTATGGGGTGGAAGCTGGTGGTGATGGAGTCAACACGGCTCGTCACTCGTCGACACTCTCGGGTGGTCGTCCTGGTGTGCTTCATGGTACAAAGACATACATCATTCAAGATGCTGCTGGCCAGGCCATGGAAACACACTCGGTGTCTGCTGGTTTGGATTATGCGGGTGTTGGACCCGAGCACGCATTTTTGAAAGATTCGGGCCGTGCTACGTATGTGAGTGTGACTGACAAGGAGGCACTGGAGGCTTTTCAGCTTATGTCGGAGTATGAAGGAATCATTCCGGCACTCGAAACCGCACATGCAGTATACTACGGCCTGAAACTGGCCTCCACACTGTCTTCTGATCAAGTAGTGGTCATTAACATCAGTGGCCGTGGCGACAAGGATATGTTGCAAGTCGCAAAGGTGCTCGGTGTCAATCTCAACGATGATCTCACGGATATGTAAAACACACGACAACAATCGAGATAGTGCACGAGGAAGAGCTTCAATAAGAGCGCTCGTTGTCTGTGTATTCTTGAAATTATTTCTTTTCCATGTAAAGACACATCTTTGTCGGTCCTGTTTGATTTTAACTGGGTGACTGATTCTTTTGCGGTTGCTCTGGCCTATCACTTGCTAGTAGTGACGCCTTGGTGTACTAGATAACGAGGTTGACGTGTTGAGGTCGTCGTCAACGAGGTAATTCCCATCTGGGATAGGCTCGTACCCATCCTTCGAGTTCTCTGCATCGTCCGAGCTTTTCCCCCACAACGTGTACAATAGGAAGTACAGCACGAAAATCTCGACAAGATGCTTGGATGCTACAAAAAGCCACCACTTGGATTCAAGGTAAACTCCCGCTTTGTGAAAATGTGCGAGGCTCACGATCGAGTACGTGAGAAAAACAGTGTTGGAGATGAGAAAGAACGCACAGATGGATGTCGCCCAATTGACCGCCTTGATCCTATCGGTCGTGTCAATCTGACTAACCTCGAGGAAAGCCTGCAAGACGGTTTTCATACGGAACGAGTACACTAGTACCGCTGCCAACGATCCAATCGACAAGAGACACATGACAACGTCATCGTAGACCATGAGCCAATACGAGTCCACTCTTTTTGCTGCAAATGCTGCAAACCCTATTGCTTGAATCGTTACAATAGCACTCGACACAAAGACAAAGAGCCGCAATGGATGCGACCGTACACTATCATGAGTAAAGAGACGACGTAGCATATCGGCCCAGAAGACGACAATGAGCACAAAGACACTGTAAAGTAAAAAAGAGCCTAGCAGCTCAACTGTTTCTGCCAGAAGAAAGTGAGCCCAGCCGTCGTCATTCATCATGATCCGAGGTGGCGCCACCATGACTGATTGAACGCCATAAGGTGTGGCAAACCACAACACACGAGTGAGTGAGGCCAGTCCCATAAGCAAGTAAAAGCCAAGTGTAGCAGCCTGTCGTGTGGGTGACTGTGCGTGCATAGCAAAAGCCCAAAACGAGAAGAAGCAGGCACCACCATAGGCTAAAGCCAGGACGGTATCTACTTGACGGTAACGGAATTCAAGATGGATCAGTGGCGCTGCATATATTGGATGATAACATAGCGGTTAGTGGGAGAATATTGATAGAATAAGTACCGGTAGGTAGAGGAGATCAAGATGTATTAGATAAAAGTAAGGGAACGCACCATATGTAGCTTTATCTATCGGGAGAGTCGACGCTATTGCGTCCGTCATGAGATTTTACGATATCTGGAAACTTTATATGATAAGGTGAGTAGTTTGATGTGAAGTACATCAATATGATGTGGTTGTTGCACGGTGTTTGGTGACAGAGGTCTATCGTTTAGTACCCAACGGCACAATTTAACCTTGTAGGAATGATTGTCAACCGTAAAATTAAAGTCGCGAAATCAGTGTGAGACCCTACAAAAAAACGCTTTTTTCTGTTTTGTAGTTGACTCATTTTACTAAAAAACAAAAAAGTGAATGGTGTGAGTGAGACCAGACAAAAACGCTTTTTTTTGTTTTTGGGTATGCTGCTCATTCATAGCATAAGCATGTCACCTACTATTCAGCCTTAGAAATATGCTGTAAAACAGTGAGATCCCGAAATAATGTGTGCAGATCGGCGAAAAAAAAGCAAAAAGGACCCAAATTCTGGCTCTGTTCCAGTACTATCTATACATTTAGTTACGGTTGGTAAAAAGAGAGGTTCAGATCGTCTATTTACACGGTGTTATCTATGTGCAGGATCTCTGGAAAGTCCTGAGCCAGGACATTAGCGCCAAATGACCCGACGGTATATCGAAAATGGCCACCGTAAAACTCGGTGGCCCTCTTGGGTCGCACTCTAGCAATTTAATGCATGCATAAAGCAAGGCACCACGTGTGGCAGATGCAATTTTGCGATGCTCTCTTTGCAATTGCTCGGAGCTGACAAAGGCACGAGACCCACAGACTGGCGATGCCGCTGGGAATGTAGAGTGTGACAGCCTTCAAGACGGCTGCATTCCTGTCTATCCAAATTCGTGTTTGACATATCGTCGCGAGGACATCCAAATTTGTGTCCAGACGCGTTCGGCTTCATTGGCGTCATCCTGAAATCGATCCGCTAGGATATTTGTGCGGTACTCGGGTATGCTGTCAGCACGTCGACTTGCACAGGCCCCCAGAAAATTTTGGGTTAATGGACGGGTGACTTTGTGCCCAGTCCTGTGACCAATGAGCTTTTTCCAGAGCGCTGCAGCGCAATTATATTGCCAAAATAAATGGACAATGGTCTCCTTCCTGCCGCTGCAATCCGGCGTCTTTTTGCAACTATTGCGTTCGATTCTCTCGGCGTGATACAGATTTAATTGTCGTGTCGCCAACCGGTACCCTATCCAGACTTGATATGGGGTGAGATTATTACTATGATCCCACACTTGCGTCGGCGTTTGCCGGAGCGCTGCACTATGCCATTCATCCGTCGTTGCCGATTGTGAAAGGCGATCAACGAGAACCGAAAGTTGACGGGCAAGAACTTTTTTGTCGAAACGGAAGGCTTTCTTGCCTAAGGCCTTCGTGATGAAGTGATTCGACGTTGTGTCTGGAACAGACCAAGGGAACCGATATGGCTGCGGGTGCGCCTCAAATACGAGACCCCCTCTTCGAATAGCGCGCCCAATCGCCTGTCGGTCAGATGGCGAAGGGTCAGTGAGCTCCGGCAGTAATCCATGATAGAACCAGTGTATCCCATCATCCGCTTGGTGCAGAGTGACGGGGCGGGTTTGGCCATGTTCGATCTCCGTTAAGTGGCCTACGATTATGCCTTTACCGAGAATTCTCCAGCTACCCAAACTCTGTGGTGCCTGTCGAAAGCGCAATGGCGGTGTCGAGTGCAATTCTGTCCCAATGGGTAAGTCCGGGGATGATAATAGGAGGACTGATGCCTCCAGTTGGAGTTTCGCGTCCGAACCTTAACCCAGCAGAATGAAAAAGTGAGGCGTAAGAAGATTGCGTCATGGTAGATGAAACGAGTTACCACCCTGACGTCTTAGTAGCTACTATAGACGCTCTGTGCCTCTTTCTCCACATTTTGGCTCTCGTTGGAAAATAAATGTACGCTCGTGCAACATCATGTGCCATTTTCCACGAAGCATGATGATGTATGGGCAAGAAGAGCCATGAACCCGAGCTGACAACCGATCAAGAAAAAAACGCTGAAGGTAAATTGATCTAAAACTGCGGCGTATCCTTTGGTAAAAGAGTTCCTGTGAAAGTATCGAGCAGCGATATGAAAATGAAGTTTGTAAGGACCATTGCCACTTCATCGTCGACCTTTTTGACTTTGATGCCGGCATCGTACAATTGCAACCGGGATAAGTCATGAGCTTCTGGTGCAAGTGAAGGACCATTGACAACGAACACGAGTCTTTTCCGGACGATAGCCTCGATACTTTTTAGTGGCTCGTCGTCTTTAATAGATGGTGAGTATACACGGACAACTACAAACTTTGTCAGCCATCTATTTGCTGTTATCATGCGCTGTATTCCAATACCAGTGAATTGACAGCCTTAGAAAGGTGCTTTCTTGTGAGGTAGCACTTTCTTCCGACTAACTAATTATCGGCTAATCAACTGTCATTCTGACCAAACCTCGTCCTGTAAAAAAGAGATGGTATTCATCATGAATTCTTAGCGTTGGTCTCGCTTTCAGCTACTCGATGGTCGACTAGAGCCGCCCACTCACTACTCGGCGCATACGTCTTTCCATCGTGTCATTGTCATACGGCAATGTCTCATTTCGGCCTGTGTATCATTGTCATGCCATCGACCATTTGGCTGCTGTCGAGGCTGTATCGAAAATGGCCTTACAGCTGTGAATGATCGACAACAGGTTTGTGCAGCTTGAAAAAACACCTTGACGCAGTCTCCTATGGTCTATCTTACAATCTGGTAAAGATAAGTCTTCGTAGTTGTAAGTCCACATGGGATTCTATCTAACGCTGCGTTAGGGTCAAGTATCGTAGGATGGGATTGACCTAATACAAGAAGCGGATGGCTTTAAAAAGGACAGCATGTGGCTAATGATGCTAAGCTACAAGGTATTTTTATTCATACAGAGAGCTAAAGACTGTAAGACTGAAGCATAGTTTAGTGGTCGTGTAGCTTGGATTTAGACGGTGGCCTTACTCCTTAGATTAGTGATAATGTACTTATATCTTCCTTGGTTGTTGTCTGCTGGTGCAGTATGGGTAACTGACAATGTGGCTTATGTTTCTAAAACCTTATTTTGTTTGGGGCGGAATAGTCGATTCGGAGCCACCAAGACGTGCCTTTGCGTCGTAAAGCTTTGTTTTGCGCACCATTTGCAAGCGATTAAACCGACGATTTACTACTGTAAAGAAACTGAATAATAGCGATACATTTGAAACGTTTCTAATATTCATAAAACATTTAGCTATCAAAAACTCGGTGCCACTCTTAAGTAACAAATGCATCTGGTGGGTGCGCGCTGTCAAGCTCGGGCGGGGCCCGGCGTGACGATCGGTGCTAGGGTAGCCGTCTCAGTACTTTGACATTCTTTGCACACAAAAACGTCTGTCTTTTCGTCGTTGAACACAATCAATGCTCGGTATAAATTCGTAATTTTAAACGAACACTCGCTGCGTGATAAGGGTCTTGTAAGAAAAACGGATGCGTTTCGTGTGCTCACGTGCCTTCATGGAGTCGCTCTTCCCAAATGACATTGGCTTTCTCCGGTATAAAACGCACAAAAAGACAGCGTTTGTGACAGCAAGTGCTGCATAGATTGCAACGATCTATTTGAGTACTTATTCCATTAGCAAGCAGTGATGCCAGCCAGCACACTCACTTGCCATAGACAATGGCCGTCATAAAAAAAATCACGTCGTCTGTACAACACCACATTTAAATGAATCAATCGCACCTTTCCACTGGAGTCGAGACGACAAACAATGTCACTTGACAGACGAGACGACAGCAATCTGTATACATGTATATCGCTTGCAACATAACCAAGCCATCGCGTTTTCATTGGCTCTTTCGAATCTGAGGCTCCCACGTTTTCGTACATAGACAGTTCTTGCATAACCTGGCCACAATAGAGCAGGAACAATTTGACAGAGCCAGTTCACATGAACTGACTTCTACCCGTGGAGAGGCAGGCAGGCAGGCAGGCAGGCATCCGTCGACTGCACACTTTAGCAGAGACCCGATAGTACACAAGAAGTCAAGGAAGACGTTGAAAGAAACGGTTTTTCGAAACGAGAATAGGTACAACAGCTAAAGAATAGAGGAGACTTTGGAACGACGCATTCGTATTTTCAAATTTATCCATGAATCATCGTGGAAATTCATCCGACTTGGCACGTCGAGGTCTTAGTCATCATGGTGTGAGTATTCCAGGACTTAATGTGGACATTGAAATGCTCGTACAAAGTACACAAGGTTCAGCAATGCATTTTGGACGCAAGGCCGCTAATGAAAAATTTCATGGCTGGCTCTGGAAAAAGTCTGGTCGGTTTTCAAAATGGCGGAATCAGCATTTTGTATTGGATGGGGCTTTATTGACGTACTACGATACGTTTCCAACGGACCAATTTGTGTCAGAATCGTCCCTTGTACCGATACAGGGTGATAACCTTTTCACAACCAAGAGTGAATCGACACCGGCAGGTGCCGTCCGAGTAGCACACGTTGAAACGTCCCCAAAATCCAAGATTGCATTCAAAGTGTATGCTGTTAGTGGCAAGATTATCGATGTACGAGCCAAGAATGATACCTTATGCAGACAGTGGGTGGACCGACTGAACGAAGCAGCGGCTTTAGCAAAACGTCAAGAATCGCTGAATACGAGCACGACAAGTACGGTATCATCGACACTTTCAATGGGGTACTCGGATTCCGAACTCGATTTTCAATGCAACATTGTGGACAAGAGTGGATGGCTGGAAGTCGGTGATCGCAAGTCGAAACGACCGCGTTTCTGTGTCATGCAGGGAAACATGTTTACGGTATACGATACTGAGGACGCATGGGCTGTACCATTGAGTCGTGCTTATGTCACTCATGCCGAGAAGATCAGTGAAGCGACCTGTGAGTTTTCCGTGTCGACATCTGCCGGTAAAATTACCAAGATGCTCATGTGCAAGGCACGATCGCACGATGAAATGCACCTGTGGATGGAAGCCTTGAGTAATGCGTCCAATTGAGCAATGCGTCTAATGAAGCAATGCGGCTTACTATGAACCATTCTAGTGCATTTAGATTCATCAACCGCAATCAGCGCGACGCGGTATCAAGCAGAGTAGAAGTCGGCCCCCCAGCTCAATAACGCCATGTTTTTTTTGTCTGTCCAAGCGGCGACTTCAAGAATCGTATCGTCATTGTCATCTCCAAGCTGCTCTTTTTGCTCGAATTGTCGGGGGTGGTAAGTGTGTGCGGCGTATTTAAATTATTCACCGGCCGAAGCGAGACCGGCAAGTTAGTAGTAGGCATTTTGTCGAGACCACGTAGTACTTGTGCAACCGATTGGTAGTTGCATGCGGTTAAGCAAACAAACACGTGATCGTCTCTCAAGATCATTTTTCTTGGGCATAGCGTACGTTCGTGTCATTTGAATCAAACGATATTTTATGAGTGCAGCATTGCACTACCACCATCTTCGCTGACTTCTCTGGTCTCCAATACCATAGGATACCGTATCGCAACACATGAGTCAAAGAAGGCAGTTCGAGCGCACATGTACTGTAACTCAGAAACCACCACTCGTGCAACGCATTCTCCGACCTCATTTTTTCGTGTTCTCGTTGCAGCGAACACACGAAACGATTCGTAACTACAACAGCAATACATGTCCGTCATCCAGTCGGACTATCACCAGAAATATAAAGAAAAATGCTTTACACAGCTTGCGATCCTTCACTCAGCACTGCATATTCAGCAAGCAGTACAGAGAAATCGATTCGATCAATAGTTTATGCGTACATGCATGCACACGTTCTGTTTCACCACTGGTACATCTGCACGATAATTACTTGACAAATGTACATGTCCTTAGTCCTCGTTATAAGCATGCATCAAATCCTGCAGCCCACGGCGATTGAGCCGCTGGTGTTGCTGCATAAGAACCATCCGACGCTTGTCACAAACGATATCCGTAGAGTTTTGATCTAGCAGCTCTTGACGAACCTCATGCTGCAGTGCATAGAGAATCTCCGTCATCTTTGGGCGACGATTAGGATCATTGTCTAAGCACTGTGCAATAAGTTTTCGACGACACGGCGAGCATGAGACTGGAATGGTTGGCCTCAATGCTCCACGTGAGACACCCATCATGATATCGATAGTCGTGTAGTTCTTAGGAAGGTCATGGTAGGGTTCATGTCTTGTCTCGAGCTCCACAAGAATGACGCCAAAACTGTAGCAGTCGACTTGTGCGTCGTAGCGCTCCTCGCGAAGAATCTCGGGGGCCAACCAATACGGCGTACCAACGATGGTACTGAACAGCTTTCCCGGTAGCAATTGTTGTTTCGACTCGCCAAAATCGGACACTTTACATGAATACGTGCGCGTGCACAACAAGTTCGAAGATTTTAGGTCACGATGCACAAGCGGTGGATCGCAATTGTGCAAATACGAAACCCCTTGCGCCACATCTGTAGCAACCTTCAGCAAAGGATCACTCCACGTCAGTGCAATTGGGCTACGTAGCAATGATAACATATCGCCACGTTCAAGATATTCCATGACAAGTCCGAGATTGGACAGGTTATCGAACGTCGCTCCGATAAATAAAACAATATTCGGATGCCGTAGGCATGCCAGCAGTTCCACCTTACTTTTGAATGCTGCAACGCCCTCAGCTGTTAAACAAGACTGCGCCAATCGCTTCACCACGACATCTGTTTGGTGATATTCACCTACCAAGACTTCACCGTTTGGCGTCTTGGCTAAGATTTCTTTCAATTTCAAATCTGCAAACGGGATAGATACTGTCATGAACAATTCCATGTCTCCAGAGGCGCTCAGTGCTCGCTTCAATGCCTCCTTCTCATCTCGTGTCATTGCGTTGCGGTTCTCAAGCCCAATCTGTTTCACCGATAGATCAAGCTTCAGTGTTGTGTTAATACGCTCTGCACGCACTTTAGAAGCATACGCCATACGAGCAGCACGATCCTCCGAGTATGTAGCTGTGAGTGTAAAGCAGGTGGGCAAGAACACGCACAAGACAAACAGGAACGCTTCGTTGCTCATCACAGGCCGACTTGATGAAAATAACGGGGTTGCACCCAAAAAGCATAACATCAATGTAGTAATCCACTCGGTCACAGCTAGCAGCACCACGTGGGTAAAGTCGAGTTTCATGGCGACTGCAACGATACCAGCACATGCAGTCAGCATCGCCATGACCCCCATAAGAAGCGAGTAGACCAAGTTGACATCATACATTTGAAGCCACGATAACATCGTCATTGGTCCATCCACTTTCGAGATATTTTTCCACTCTGACGTATCGTACAATGACAATGGCATTACAATATCTCGTGCACAGACCATTCCATTCGCTAAGCTCTGTCTGAGATTGTTTCTCATTCCAAGTAAAATATGGTGCACAAATACCGCCAATCCAGCTAACCAACACAATATAATAAACGTCGCAATGACTTTCCAATGACGTCGAATATAATAGACCCCAATTCTCAATCTCATGCTACCTTCAAAATATTTCAATGGCAACATCCCGTACACAAGTGCAAAAGGTGCAAAACTCCACAAGAACCACGTAAATTCTTCATCTTTAGCCATGGGTTCAATCCATAAGACACAATTCCTTGTGTTTGTAGTCTGAGACATCGAGCCAAAAGGTTTTTTCTCTCGTAAGAACGAAAGGAGATCAACCCATGGATACTCATTCTCCAAAGGTACGATACAAGTGTCTTTAAATTTAGAAAAGAGAAAATAACCAACACCTTGAAAAAAGACAAGAGCCAACATGAGTCTTCGAGCAACTGGAAAATCCACTGTTGAAGAATAAAGTTGATACGATTCTTCCATTCTTTCATCTCGAAAATGATTACTTGGTAATTTAAAATCTGTTTGTGGATTCATATGAGATTGCCATGTAGGAGAAGGTTGAATGGATGGAAAATCAATTTCATTGAACGATTGAGAATGTTCGACCAAAGTCGCACTTGATAAAACAGAAGAATGGTTGGAATCAGAAGAATGGTTGGAATCAGAAGAATGGTTGGAATCAGAAGAATGTTTGGGATCAGAAGATTGTAATGAAAATGATATGGATTCGAGATGATGATGATGAATATTGAAATCATTTTGAGAAGGATGAAGGGATGTAAATTGTTGGTAGACCGTATCATATTGATCATTCTGATCCGTATCCGATACATTTAAATGTCGTTCCATGATCTGAGACTTTGATTTAAATATATCGTTAAGTTTGTGGGAGATAAATTACGTCTTTTGGACGAGATAGTGTTTTAAAAAAACGAATTTATCATACTTAAAGATGGGATCAGAATGTACCCTTTTCTAATTGAAAAGAGCCTAATTACGTCTAAAAAAGACTTTAAAAAAAACGTCACTAGAGTTTTTTCATAAGGTATTATGAACGCGACACGGCCGATCCCGATTGGAACAAGCGGTAGCCAACGTGGCTCCCCCGTAACGAGAAGTTTGAACGGTGTTGCAATGGTGTCACATTCCCTACCAGCAGACATGCATCACGTTCATCTCTCACGTTTTATAACAAATTCAAATAGCATAAGATCCAATGGATTAGAACCACCTGGAGCACCACTAGTGGGTTCAATGCCTGAACCAAATTTTCTACGGTTTGAAAGCATGCCTGACTTGGCACTGGGTCCACCTGCTGAGATGATTGAAGAGGATTCACCACCCCAGCGTGTACCATCTGTGGTTCAGGTACATTTTAAATCAATATTTTAAGCTGGATTTTAAGCTGGATTATTTTAATGTGGGTTTTTTCTAGTTTGCGAGTTCATGTCCCGGGAATATTGGGTTTTTTAGAAGTAACATGACAAGAAGTTCCTGGAGACCGACATTGGAACCACATCCAGCTGAACACGATGATTTTGATTTGTCCAAAAGTCCAGCACTTGCTATGATGTCGGCCATGAGAGAGAGAATGTCATGGGGAGGATTAAGTGAAGAGACTACACTACAATCGGGAAACGGCTTGTCAGACGACGGGTTGTTGAGCTCACGAACACAACCAGTAAGACATTATTATGCCTCGGACGAGTCATCAAGTTATGCAGTAAGTGCTGAACTACTGGAAAGACTCAGTATCACGTCGGAGGAAGAAAGAGAGAGTACAGAGGAACGACACGAGCGCTATCGGATGCCAGAGTACAATTCTCAAATGTCAGGAAATCAGAGACGAAGACCCGAGCGACGTGGGTCAAGTGGCAATGTGTCGGATACTGGTGACACAGGCATTTTTGAATTTGATGACCAATAGACTCGACAGGTAGTGTGTGTGGTAACTCAATGAGGAATCGCACAACAAGTACATGTAACAAGCAGTTTGAAGCAGGTATCGAAGGAGAAGAAAGATGAAGAAATCTTAATCAATACCGTTGAGACTCACAAATTCTATATTAACCAGGAATTGTAGACGATTCTATTGCAGCAATACCAGCAATTGTTTTTTTTACCTCGCTCGCAATTGCAAGCTACTTTTTCTCATGGATGTTAATGGTCTGCATATACTCGTCTGGCACTTTTGCTGCCGTGTTTTTTTTCTCATTGTGACAAATTTTACAAATAACAATCAATGGATTTTCTGACTCCTATGAAGTTATGGGTTGTTTTCTTCTAATATATAAGTTACAAGATAATATGTGATTTCACAGTCTATCTGACGTTGTTTTTGAATGTAGACATGATGATATATCAGCGGATTCCAATTTATGAAACTACCACACCACTCCAACATGATTTTTAGAAGGAGAGGCGACATCATTTTTGAAATAAAATGTACATAGTAAGAAGAGCGAACAGGGTTCCGATTCCATCTCTTTAATTAGTTCAAACGTCACTTTCCATTTATACCCATTGGACCCCAATTTAAGATGATTGTGGATGCAGAGACCGAATTATTACATTTGCAATTGCCATTTGTCACGTTAAATTCGATTGAACTTGTTCAGCGCACCAAAACATTTCAAGAACCTCATGTGAAGAACATTCAGGCAATCGACCGTTGGCGACAAGTTCGATCTCGAATGAAACAATTAACACGTGGTTTAAAGCGTTGTCAAATGCAAACGATTGAGGGAGAGAAGATCGATGCGACATGTCGAGCTTCGATTTTACACAAAGATTTCTGGCTCGAAGCTTTGGATACACAACACCGGTATGGGTTTAATCTACGAGCATTTCATAAAGTATGGAAGCATGAAATGGCAGAGGGACTCGACGTGTGTGGGACTGCAGATGCTTCTTTTTTTCATTGGCTTGATTATGGCAATGGAAAGAATGTGGAGCTACCAGAATGTAGTCAGCACGACTTACGTTCGACTCTTGTTGAATATTGCAATGCCGAACAGCGTAAACACTATGAGATTAAATTTGTATCACATGAAGAAGAGAAGAATGTGGTGAGGGTGCAGTATGTGGCTTCAGGACATTTAGTGCACACAGATGAACACAGCAAATGGATTTTTGTCTTGGGTCTCTCTGGTCAAATGTATCTCGGTCGCAAACGCAAGGGACGGTTCCACCACTCGAGCTTCGTAACGGGTGCTCCAATTTTTGCAGCTGGCAAGATCGTCATTAAAAACGGTGTCATTGTCGCCGTCGAGCCACATAGTGGCCACTTTAAACCCCGATTAGGGAACCTCCTGGCTCTTTGCTTTATGTTGGCAAAGCATGGTGTTGACATTGACAAGATTGCCTTTGTTAAGCCAAAAAAGTGGACCTGTGCATGGCCCTTTCCATCACAACCGGACCTCGAGCTTGAAGACTTTGGTGCCTTAGACACGGAATACGGCGATTCAGACGAGTCGCAGATACTGATGTCATCAGTAGAATAAGGCCATGTAGCTTCTTGCGTTCGTATTTATCACAGTTTAGCACCGTTTGTTACAGCTTCTACCGTCGTTTGTATTCGCAAGCTTTGAATTCAATTGGCCTTACGTTCTGCGATTTGCGCGATGACTTGACAAAATCAAAGAGCACAAACATCTTGTTGCGCTCGTCCTTGTGTTTGCAATCAAAGCCCATTTTGCGCAGCGTCTGCACGAATCCATCAATCCCGCCAAGCGTCTCACTCTCAAAGCGGCTCTTGACCTCGGCAACCATCAATATGCCTCCAGGCTTGAGCACACGATGTACTTCACGTATATACTCGCGTACACTTGTCCCCATAAGCGCTAAACAGTACACGCCAATGTCGACGCTGCTATCTTTTAAGGGCACCTGCATTTCAAACAACAGCATGACCATCATCATCAACAGTATAATTGTACCAGTCCTTATAACCTCTTCAACTTACATCAGCAATATTGCACGCTGTCACATGTGGTTTACAAGATACTAAATCGAACGAGTGCACCTTGTTCGGCACACTTTCTGACAACCTTGCATCTCCACAGCCGAAATCTGCCACAACTGCCTTCGGATAACGTCTTCAATGTTTACAAACAATCAAATTTGACATTAGTAATCGTTAACTTCCCACCATATTACACAATTGTACAAGACAGCAACATACTTGACGTAATCAATGAAATTGTCAAGGGGATTGGTCGGCCACTTGTCTGCCATCTCTCGAAAGCCTTGATGATATACGTCAAAAAGCTCTGGATCGTCCTGGAACGTAGAGAAAGCATCGTCTCCTGTAGTTGTATACAGCTGTTCGTTGAGCATACGGAACTTTCCGCCGTCAATTTTGCGTCGCATCTCAGCAAGACGCTCAGCAGGTGTCAAAACTTTGGATTTTCTCTTCAGATGCTTTTTTCCATTGGTCTGTTGTTGACTTTGCGTTGATCTTGGTGTGATGATAATGTGCTGCGTCTTATTTTTCAAATGAACTTTTTTATTGTTTCTGGAAGAGGGTACTTGGCCTTTTGCACCGCCTTTGCGACTCTTCTTCCCCATTAATTAAGACCTTCAAATATTGGACGAGAACAGCTTTAAAATTGTCCGAAATTAAGATGAAGAATACGTAATACGCTTAATTTTGGGCGCTCTAGACTAAATAGATTTTTTCTGCTGACTTCTATGGTCAAATTTGTGTAGATACTGTATAGTGAAAATTCGGTGCTACCGGTATACCGTAGGAATTGTGGCATTTCGTAGCAACTTTTGCATACAGTACAGCTCGGATTTTTGTCCGGTTCTCGGTGAAAAACGCATGCTGGGTGCAGTATATGTAGTAACTAACCGACCAATAATCCGAGCTATTTTTTTCAGTCATGAGGTAGATGCCCTTGTGTGTGAGCTACAATGGTGAGAGTATTAAGCCGATAAACATACTTTTGAATAGCGAGAGCCTAAGCGTCAGCTAGAAGGAATGAAACAGCTATGATCATGGAGAAGCTAGGGTTTTTAGTGGAAGTAGCGCTGTGAAAATCAATTGGAGGTTGACCTCGTGTCGAGCACAAATACTATGTCACAGGTAGTAGTCATTGCCGAAAGAATAAGAGCATTGCAATTGATTGCACTATGCATCGTCTGTTAGAAATGCCTGCTTAGAAACGTCTTGTCAGTCATTGTTATGTTACAGGTTCAACAGGTATAACATGTGACGGTGACACCTGATTGGTCAAAGTCACACATATCTTAACATGTGGTGAGACGAGGCTACGATGGTGACAGATGGTGAGACAAGGCTACGATGGTGACAGATGGTGAGACAAGGCTACGATGGTGACAGGTGTCGTGACAGGCGTTACGATAAGATCGGACCAGGTGATGGAACGAGGTGGCGACATGACCGTTGAGCGACATGACGACGACGTAGAAGACGGACGCAAACATGTTATGGTCAAGTTGCAGTGCATGTTGTATTATAGTGTTAGCGAACGAAGATAACATTCTAATACATTCACTTTTACTTCTACCTCTACGTGCACAAGTGCACCACTACTTCACTCCACTCTTACAGGTTATGAGCCCAACGGAACGTGTTGTGGGCAAGCCCAAACAGGCTATGCCTAACGTGGCAGTCGGCGACCCTAATCGGGTTAACGACGACCACCTCGAAGAAAAGTCGGCAGTGCCTGATGCGGCACTGGGCAAGGTGCTTGCCATGCTCGGAGACCTATCTGATCGGCTGAATTGGATGGAGGTCTCCCAGAAGGAGCATGCCGGTGGACACCGGAAGGACTCTGCGGAGTCAAGCGTCTTTGGTTCGGCTCTGGGAGCGGGTGGAGGGATAAACATCCAGGCTTTGGAACTTACCCCTCCCCGGAAGAGGTCACCGAACGACGTGTCGCCGGCTACGTACTTTGGAGCCAGGCGACACTACGAAGCTGATGATGCAAATCATCGAGCAGGCCATGTTGAAGCAGACCGCAACATGGGACAAGCGCCGGAACCTGCACATTTTATGGCAGGGGTGCCAGGCTATTACCCCAGCGCGGGTATGCCGAACGTGATGCATGCCAACCTGGGACAACAGGTTGTGGGGATGCCAGACGCGCAACATCGGAAGCTTGCACTACAACCTTTTGATGGGAAGGAACTATACCATGGCCTTGGTAGTGGTTTCCTCGGATGGGGCAAGGAATTTGTGCGTCAAGTTGGTTTTGCCGAGCGTGCGTGTGGATTCACGTGGTCGGAAGACATCAAGGTGGATGTCTTAGGACAACACCTGGCCGGCAAGGCGCAGACGTATTACCGTCGGCAGGTGGAGACTTGGTGGTCTGAAAGCCAAACCTTGGAGCATGCTATGCAAAGGTTGCTTCAGACTTTCAACACCAAGATATCACCTGCCCAGAGCATAAAATTGTTCACGGCGCCAAAGGCAACTCACAGAAGTTGGACGGACCACTTTTTATACCTGACGGCCGTGAGTGATGCATGCGGAGGGGCGGACAACCTGGTGCTTGACAACATCGTCCACTATGCAGACCCGCTTATGCGTACGACCATGTTGTCCAGGTTGGATATGCATCGTAACGACCCCTTACGTCAAGCTGAAGAAGTGGCTCAATTCGCGCAGTCGACGGAGATCGACACTCATGCAAAGAATTTTGGGCGCGATGTGGTAAACGCTGTCGAAACAAGGAAGGAACCGAAGGAAAGGGTCAAGGCTAAGGTAAAATCAACCTTCGGTGAAGGTGACCAGCGCACGTGTTACAAGTGCGGGGAAGTCGGACACATCAGGTCGATGTGCCCGCAACTGAAGAAGAAGATACCAAGGGCAAGCTTTACCTTTGCAATTGGCAATGGTGAAATATTCAAGACAACAATTGGATCCTTGACAGTGGGTCCAGTAGACATTTGGTAAACGATTTAAGTCTGCTGGTTAATCCGAAAGACTGTCAGAGTGAATGTTTGACGGCAGCCACTGATGGAGGCGTGCTGAGAATCACCATGCAAGGAAGTGTCGACATTGAAGTTGTCGCACTGGGAGTTGTGAACACCATTCGGCTCCTCGATGTTCAGTATGCTGCAAACCTCGAGCGAAATATCATATCATATGGTAAGCTCGAGGCTAAAGGATGTATACTCGAATATCGAGGAGGGAGGCGTGTGTTGACCTCTGGGGTCGGAGGTGCACCGGTAATGGATGTTGAATGCAACAACAATGTGTTTGTTGTCACGGTGATGAGACCCGGTAACACCGTTTCAAGCACATCACGGGAAGCGATGACGGCTGTACTTAATTCACCTGAATATGAATCCGATTCGGATGTTCAGAGTGGTACCTTGATGCACTTTCATCGCCGGTTGGGTCATCTCTGTTTCGATACTATCATCAAGATGGCCAGAGACCCGGGGTCGGCTATTAAGCTGACTGACCTGACACGCATGAATTGCCTGGCGTGTGCTAAAGGAAAACAAGTCAAGAAAGCACAGTCGAAAAAGGACACGGGCATGAACTCACCTATCGACGTGATAGGTGGAGTGAAAAGCTCTGATCTCAAGGGACCGATAACCCCACGAGACCGACTGTGAAATCGTTACCTAGTCAATTTTATTGACCACCGATCAAATTATTGCCGTGTGTTTCTGGCCAAGTCTAAAGATATTGCTGATATTGCTGCACTCAAGTTCAAGCAGTTCCTTGTGAGTTTCGAACGAGAATTTAATTGCAAGATCCACGTGCTACGCACGGACGGAGGTGGCGAATACAAGACATTGGATGTGTTTTGCAAAGGGACTGGCGTATCACGTCAAGTGAGCGAAGCCAGAAACCAAGCCAGTAATGGTAAGGCTGAACGGATGCATCGTACTATTATGAATATGGTAAGAAGCATGGTGTTCGCCTCGAACCTACCCCTTTCTCACTGGGGTGATGCTGCTGAGTACGCGACTTACATACTCAACCGGAGCCGAACCAAGTCGAATCCTGGTGGTGTATCCCCAATGGAATTTTTGACGAAGAAAGTGCCTATGCTGAATGACATCGTGGTGTTCGGTTCTGCATGCACGGTTCATGTCCATACAAAAAACAAGTCACTTGGAGAGCGTGGGAAGGCAGGCATAATAATTGGAAAAAGTGGCGAGACGAAGGGTTACAAAGTGTACATCCCCAAGGACAAGGTGGTTGTGGTAACACAACATGTGCAAAACATTGAAACACTGTCGGATGAGCAAAATGAACAAGTCAAGTCCCACTTGAAGAGAGTCGACCATCAGGAGGAGTCACCCAATGATGATCAACCGGATGTTCAAGTGCAATCAAGCGTCAAAAAACGGGTCACGAAAGGACTCAAGGGTCGAAAATCCGGATGGACGAGAGAGCGACATGGTACAAGGTCAACCAGCAAGCAACAGGTTGAAGAGCCTTCGAATAAAGGTCCTGCTGAAAAACAAGATGTGGTAAATGTAATTATAATGCAAGACCCCAAGCACTATGGAGAAGCAGTCAAGAGCAAGCAACATCAAGAGTGGAAGATCGCCATGACCGAAGAACTGGACGCGTTAAAGGCGAACGATGTCTGGACGATCGTTGCACCACCCAAGGATGCGCACGTTCTCCACAACAAGTGGGTGTACAAGACCAAAACCGATGCGAACGGGGACATAGAGCGGTACAAGGCTCGTCTGGTCGTCTGTGGAAACGAACAAGTCTTTGGAGTAGACTACAACCTCACTTTTGCAGCGGTGATGGACTTGAGCACGGTGAAGATGATCTTGATGCTATCAAGACGTTGGAAGGTACCAGCTCGACATGGTGATGTGCCGAATGCATACGTCAAGGCAGAATTCATCGCGGCGTCTCAAGCCGGACGCGAGCTACTGGGGATGAAGGCACTGTTCGACGAATTGAAGTTGAACGTGATCAAGCCGATGCCGATGTGGATAGACAATCAAGCGGCTATCAAGCAGATAGAGTCGGAGAAGAGCACGTCAAGCGCCAAGCACGTGGACATCAGGTTCAAGTTCATCTGCAACTACGCGAAAGATGGGATCGTGGCTCCAAGATTTGTCAAGTCCCAAGACATGATGGCCGATATCTTGACGAAGTCATTGCCGGCGCCAAGAATGGAAGAGCTACGTGCAATGTTCGGGTTAAAGACCACTCAGGCTGACACCGAGGAGGAGTGTTAGAAATGCCTGCTTAGAAACGTCTTGTCAGTCATTGTTATGTTACAGGTTCAACAGGTATAACATGTGACGGTGACACCTGATTGGTCAAAGTCACACATATCTTAACATGTGGTGAGACGAGGCTACGATGGTGACAGATGGTGAGACAAGGCTACGATGGTGACAGATGGTGAGACAAGGCTACGATGGTGACAGGTGTCGTGACAGGCGTTACGATAAGATCGGACCAGGTGATGGAACGAGGTGGCGACATGACCGTTGAGCGACATGACGTTGAGGACATGCGACGACGTAGAAGACGGACGCAAACATGTTATGGTCAAGTTGCAGTGCATGTTGTATTATAGTGTTAGCGAACGAAGATAACATTCTAA